ACACACACACACACACACACACACACGGAAAATATTCTGTCTGATACGATTATCTATTCCTTCTCTACTATGCTTTCTCAAATGTTCCCATTAACTACACTCAGCTCGCTGATTCTTTGTTGTTGTTGTTTGAGATTTTCAATTAGTCTTTTTTTTATTTGTTCTTTTTAGATATACATGACAGTAGACTGTATTTTGACATATTATACATACATGAAATATAACTTATCCTAATTAGGATCCCATTCTTGTGGCTGAACATGATGTGGTGTTATGCTGGTCGTGTATTCATATATGAACATAGGAAAGTTATATTCAATTCATTCTACTGTCTTTCCTATTCCTTCCCCCCTTCCCTTCCCTTCATTCCCCTTTGAGCTTGCAGATTCTTAAAATGTTGGACATATTTTCTCCACATTATTCTGTAAACTTTGGTGCATAGAAGGTCATGATAAAACATTTATCTGGTATCACACTTTGCCACCTAAAACGAAATCAACCAGATTTCATCAATCTGGATTTCATCTCTATATACACCTGCATTCTTTAAAATATATATATATATATATATATATATATACACACACACACACACACACACACATATACACATATATACGTATATATATGAAAATAGACATCTGAAAATAGTCTATGAAACAGACCTTTCTTATATCAACTCAGAACCTTCAAAATAAAGATATCTGGACAAAAATATGATATGCATTTTTAGCAACTTTTCCTACAGTGGGTGGCACTATATGTGCTCAATACATATTTATTGAATGAATAACATGCTTACATTGTACACTATGGAATCTCCAGTACTCTGGCTATGTATACTTAAGAATGCTAACTTAAGCAAAAGAAAATAACAATAAATGTACTATCTGGTAATCATACATTATTTTTATAAGGTTTAAGTAGTTTCAAAATGTTTCCAATAGAAAGAAACTAAAAAAAACAAATGTAGCAATTCATAAATATAAGGTGACAACGTAAATGATTACAGCAAATTATGCTCAGTTATAGGCTTTCCTAAAGTAACATGGAAGTCCAGACTAATTCCCAGAGAATGCAGACACATTTTTTTCAGCAGCATATTGTTTTTTTTTAAAAATATTTTTTAGTTGTAGTTGGACACAATACTTTTATTTAATTTATTTATTTTTATGTGGTGCTGAGGATCAAACCAGGTGCTAGGCAAGTGCTTTACTGCTGAGCCACAATCCCCAGCCCTCAGAAGCATATTGTTGACAATTCTAGATTCAATCCAGAGACACAAATACTCTCTGGACTAAAACACCAGAACTCCAAAGAAGATAAAAAGGACCCATAAATATGAGTAAGCACTACAGTACACATCCTATTTTCATTATTAGGTCCTATTCTAGTGAAGAGAACTTCAACTAACAAAAACAAAACAAAAAAAAAAACTTACCAAAAGTAAACATAACAAAATTGTAAACATTATGTAGGAAAATTTTCATTTCGTTTTCTATTTAAAACTTGGGGGAGTTCCTGGTGCAGTAATCTATAGACTGTCCTAAGGGCTTAGTTTACATTCCTAATAGTTAAATTGTCAGGACCTTAAAATGAACTTCAGTGGAAGAGGAATTAATCTGTCAGAAAATAATAATCTATCAACTAAAAAAAAGTCACTCCATAAAACACTATCAATTCTAATATTGTTTCTCCTTTCCCCCAACTCAGTTTAGGGAAGGAAAATATTTTTAAAAATGTTTATGAGCTATTTTAAGCAACTTTGTTAATTTGGGAGTGAAAACAACAACAACAACAACAGGGTTTTCTGACATTTCCTTTATGCTGAAAAGGACACATGGGCACCCAGAGAAATCAAAAGCACAGAAAGCAGGCTTACACTTTTTCCTCAGATGCTAACTGCAGTGGATAAGGTCACGGTCAAAATTCACAAGCTCATTTAAACTTTCATGGCTCTCTCAAAAGCTGCCTATCACGTTTCCTGATCCTATATCTAAGTAGATTAAAACTGCAGGAGTTTCTTGCTGTAAGATCAGCAGGAGGCTATTTCAGACCCTCAAACCGCAGTCCGCATAGCCCGCAGCGGTGCATCTTCCTCCACTCCCGGCTGTGGTGTTAAGCTAGCCTTTCCAAAGCGTTCTCCTCCGGCCTTTTAAACAAACCCCAAAACCGGATGTAATCAACTCAAGACCACCTTTCATCCGCGTCCACCGGGACCCCTCCAGCTGTCACCGCCCCAGCCGCCCTTCCGCAGTCGGTGACTTCTGCCTGGTTCCCCAAGGAGAGGGAGGAGGTGTGGGGAAGAAGACACCCCGCCAAGAGCTCTTCAGCCTGCACAGCGGCAGCGCGATTCAGGAGAGGAGCAGAGAAGATGCTCAACACTAGTGCCATATTCACATTGGCTTTTTCTTTGCCAAAAAGACTCCTCGTGTCCACTAATATTGCCTTTAAAGGAAAAAAGATCCTAAGCACTAAAGCTGTTGCCCCAAATCTCCTAGCACTCCAGTAGTCTCACCTCTGTCCTCTCGCAGGAGGTTCTGAACCGGACCAGCCGGGAATACCTACACCTGCCCTCCCGTGGAGGGCACCGGCGGCCACACCGCACCGTCCCCCTCCCCCAGCAAGGGAGCGATCACCCAGACCCGGACCCGGACCCCAAGCAGCCCCCGCTGGGGCTGACAGACGAGGCGGAGCTGTGCCCCACACAAACTTCCCACTTCCCCAGCTGCTAGGACCGACCCGCGGGTGGACGGACGGGGGTCGGCGCAGGGCTCAGATGCAGAGAAGCCCTCTCATCCAGCATCCGGCCCTATGTCCAAAGAGGGCGCCAAGTGGCTCGGGGCTGCCCGGAGGAGCGGGCGCAAATTGTGGGGCTAGGGACACCGAGGCGGACGGGCAGCTCCGAAAGAGAGCAGCCAAAGGGCTGGGGACCCGCTGACCCCGCCGGCTCGGGCTCTCCGCCCCGCCAACAGCTGCAGCGGGAGACGGAGGGGGGCGCGAAGGAAGAGGAGAAGGAAGGGGACTGCGCGCTGCAGCCAAGCCCTTACCGAGTGGTTTACCCCCCACATCAGGACGCTGAGTAGAGGGTCGCTGGCCCGAAACAGCTTCACTTTCTGCGCTACGAAGTGCTTCTTCTTGGTCTTGGTCTTGCTCGCCAGGACGGAGGACCCCAGGTTGCCAGGGGTCGCCATGGCCGCCTCCTCCGTCCCCTCCACCGCCGCGCTCCCGAGACCGGGGACCCGCCCTCTCTACACACCGGCCAGGGGAGGCAGCCGCATCCCCTCGGC